CTCGCGGCCCGGACTGAGTCATCATGGCAGGCGTACCGAGGGCGAAGCCACCGCCGTGGAAGAGCACAATGAGGGGCCGGCGCGGCATCGGGTTGTCGTCCTCGCGCGGGATATTATTGGCAGTGTGGCCGCTTGGGGAGACGCGGGCGCTGGGTTTCGGCCGAATCACCAAGGTCTTGGACTCGAACCCATCGTCGGTGATTATGGTCGTCCAGTATTCTTGAATCTCGTCGGACACCGTGCCCATGGCAGCGATGGCCTCTTCTTGCCAGACCAGTATCTTGGCTCGCCTCGCTTCCAGGTCATCAGCATCGATGGCACTGGGGGCATCGGAATTCTTTGGCATCATTTTATGAGCCAGACGGCAGTCCGCTGCAGAATGTGTATGATATATATAAAGCTGAAGGAACAGGAGAGGATAAAACAAGTAGAGAATAGGTAGGCTTGTCTCGGGCAGAAGATATCGGAGGGAGACTGAGGATGTGTCGAAGCCGCGCAGAGAGTGGTGGCAAAGAGTGGCCACGCGGTTGTTAAATAGATCAGCCGAAGTGAGCCAGGCTTGCCTCCCCATGCTGGCGGCCACCTGGGAGAGATGGTAAATCTTTTTTCTTTCCGTGCAGATCGACTGGCGTCCATATCTTTGGACCCACTAAGACGTCCAGACAAGCGCGCCTTCCTCCTGTCAATGTGGGCCGGAAACCGTTGTCTTCAGCCTCTGGTGGGTCGCGAATTCGAATACGAAGGTCCGAACCCGATTACGGGTGCGAGGCTCTGGCATGGAGACGACAGAGGAGCGAGTCTGTGCCGGAGCATCACCCAGGTGCTATGCAGCTACTTCATTTAGTCCCCGCCTCACGAGGTCGGCGTGCCGCGTGAGCGTAGGTAAGAACCTCGGTATTTGGGCCGTCATGAGAAACAAGAGTAGTCTATCAGGGTATAGTTATCTACGGCACACGGTAAGTAGAGAGCGCAGAGATTTGCTCATACCCACCATCTCCGGCTTTTTTTTCATTCAATGTTCTAGACAGGCTCTTTATTCCGGCTCAGAAGGAGATGTTTCAACTTCAACGGAATCATATGAGTCCTGGGCCTGGCCTTTGTGCGGGTATTGGCCTTGGCCCTTCCGACTTTCTCCGGCCCTGGGTAGCCGCGTGATGACTCCTCCAGTTTTCCTCAGATCCGATGTTTCCTCTTAGAGAGAGTTTGCCACATGGCCATGACGTGATATTCAGCCATACAGCATACGGCCCCAAGAAAGTTCCACGGCACTAGGCTCCTTGCCCTAGCCCTAGCCCTTCCTCCAGACTGGTCCGAGCTTTCCATATCTCTTCAAATTTGCCTGCTCCTTGTCTTTTCCTGGAGAAGCACCTCTTTCCTCAAACAACCCAATAAACGAAGAACCACACCGGCACCATGGCAGCCTCGAAACCTCCATCTTGGTGCACCCATACCAGCATCGCTCCCGCGATGCATGGCCATCAGTCCCATCCCCGTGCTCGTCCGCTGGTGGGCAGCATGCGATCTCTTGACCCTGCACTTGCTCCATCCCGAAGAGCAAAGCACCATGCCCCCGCCCTATGGCGTATTGATACTTCTCTCAGAGCTTATGTACGGCGGCGGCGACTTCGAGCATCCACAAGGTGTGTAAACCTACGCGCCTCTCTTTACAAACTGCCATGCCCAGCGAGGATATACCGGTGGGTGTGCCGCTAACGTTGCTTGTGTCCTCGCAGAGCCCGCAGTTTGTGGGCCACTTCCGGCCGAAACGGCAATTACGCCTGCGCCCGTTTCGAAAGCGCGTCAGCATTCTCCGCGAGAACACGAGCTGTCGCAAAGGATCGTGACCCACGCGGGGGATCTACAGTGTCTACCGCATGCGCCTCTACTTTGCAATACGGCTACAAGTCTACCCCTTTGACCGCTACCGCCGCTGTCAAGACCGAGACGACGCGGTCACTGGTCCTTGCCACCCAAAGACCTGTGTCCGCTCTTAAAGCACATCAGCAACCCCTAGCGCAGGAAAACGATGCTGTAAGTCTGCCCCTTCAACCCTAGAGATCAAGCGCGGAATCACATAGGGCAAGGCACAGAACCAAACTCAACTGACAATCTTTCTCCTCATACCGCGAAGGCGCCACAACCACAGGTTACGCTGTTAGGGTATGCCTGAGTAAGGCCCGGCGCCTAGTGCTCTCGCTTTCCCCTTGAAACTATTAAGCAGGAGACGTGACCCTTTGCGGAGTGGTAAAGTGAAGAGTTGGCGGGCACGTCGGGGTGGAGGACGAACCGGTAAGGTCAGGGCGGGTGGATGGGATTGGCCTTACACGGTTAGTTGTCTTGGACGCAGCTCTGCGCTGGGCTCCGGCAAGGGTTGGCTTCTTCGGCGAGACTGTGTGTCAAAGACACACATTTCATCGAAGAGCCATCTCTCCTGGGGCTCCGGGATGAGTTGGCTTCTTTGATGAGATGTGCTGTCTTTTTGACACACATATCGTCGAAGAGCCATCTATCCCGGGGCTCCGGGGTGGGTTGGTTTCTGAGATGTGTTGTCTCTTGACACACATATCGTCAAAGAGCCACCTGTTTCGGAGCTCCCGGGTAGGTTGGCATTTTGTCGGAAAGGAACGGGTCAACACGAGGGATCTACGGGCAGGGTGCAGTATCAAGACCTCGGTGCGCATTAGAGACCCTCCTCCGGCCGAGGCCGGCGAGTGCTTAATACCCTTGCAGCGCACCTGTATATATAAATACATTAGAGCCAGGGGGTCTCCTACCTTCAACAACCTCTTCCACTAGTTCCTAAGAATGGAGATCAAGCAAATCGGTCTACTGCATGCGCTTCTACCCCGGTATACCTTTTTCATGAGTTCTGCCGTTTATTGCCACACATCTCATCCACAAGCTATCTGTGTTGGAAATTCTACAGAGAGGTGGCCTCGGCAAGAAAATGAAAGTTTAGAAATAGACCGACCCTATGGATTCTATGATGTGACAATACTTCATGTCTCCATTACATAAAATGCTTGGTACCCTGAGAGGTAACTGGTGACGATTCCATACTCGCAGTTAGCCAGGGCAAATGATTCCAGCATCACCAGCGCAGTCACACATGGAATCCATACATATACCCAGGTAGTCAGCTGCAAGGGTCCTTGTAAAAGCCCGCTCGTGAAGATATGCGCCATGTCTGTTCTCACGAGGACTAGCTATTCATCCCGAAGCAGCCTGGTGTGTGTTGCTCCTTGCGCGCTGATTTGGTCCTACGCACCCGCCTCTTGGGCGGACCAGTCCCACATTGCTGCTGACAATGTAATCTTGCCCCACTCGAATCGTGAGTTTCAACAACCATCGGGTCGAACGCCTCGATGTGCGGCTCTGACCAACAGTTTCCCGATTCTCACGCTTGGAATTCGATGCTACCACCGGATCTCATGTTATGCCTGGGCCAAGGCAAGCAAAAATGAAAGTGTATTATTCGTAGAGCAGTCAAGCAAGGACTTTGTGGTAAGATAGGAAAAAGACACGGGAGGAAAAGAAAAAGAAAAAGGAATGCCCATCCCGGGGGTCGAACCCGGGTCTCCGCCGCGTACCTTTGCCAGACAGGACAAAGGAAATAAGGGAGGGACATATATATATAGTGTCCGACAAAGGTTGGCGGCGCCCTAACCACTAGACCAGACGGGCTTGGTTTCTTGTTGAGTGACACCCCTCCTTCTTTGTTTATATCCCTACCGACAGTGGACCGGTGTTTCTTTGTCCTGGGCGTGCCCTTGCCTGCTCACCGAGCTTCTCCCGGCCCCCTCCACCTTTTCTGCCAACGGCTAGCTTGGGGTTCTCCACGCACACGTGCTCTTGTGTGCAAGCTCCGGACGCGACAAGTCGCGACTGACCCAGCTGGTCGGGGCATCCCGCATGCTAAAGCCACGCAACCGGCGCCGCCCGCACCTTTTAAACTGCCTCGCGTGTTTTCCTTGGTGTTTTGGTCCCCAGAAGCCAGCATCAAATTCTACGCACACACGAGGCAACAGAAAGGTGCATCTACACACCGGAAATTCCACACCAACCACCAACCACTCCCGTATCAAGCATTTGCGAATTTGATCCGCACTCTCTTCCGTTGCCGACATTAATTATCAAAACAACGTCCTGGAACACGAGCAGCCTGCACAGATTTTCTATTTCCATGAATGCCGCCTCATCACGGCTTAAAAGTTCAAATATGTTTCAAAGATCCCCACTCATCCAGCGTACGCCACAGACAGGAAGGCTGGCGGCGCTGAGCGCTCGGCATTCATAGCCTTTACAACTTTTTCACTAACTCGAGAGAGTAGCGCTGATGTAAGCCAACTGTATTTTGACGACAGCCCAGAGCTGACAGCTCGGACTGTCACGTCTTGTTACATAACACGATACGCACAGCCGCAGGCTTTGGAGGCTGACAGCTGCGCGCTCCAGATACGCGGACATATCAGAGTCGAGTGCACATATAGCCATTGACATTCCTGTATGTCCCTGCCTACTTGGTAAGTTGATGCGCCGGAAGGAAGATGTTGACCAAAGATGTGTGATAATTAGAGAGCACTCGTCCAGGGCAAGATTTCACCGCAAGTCGAGATGCGAAATCACACAGCGGCCGCAAAAGGGAGATAGCAAAGCAACAAAGACAAGGGTTGCAAGAACATAGTTGACATAATAGGATAACGAAGGTACGTATGAGTGTCCCTACTCTCCTTTTACTGCCTAGGTCATACGGAGCGTTCTTTGACACAAGGGCACAGCAACAGAAAACCTTTCCTCGATCCAGCAGTCTACATCCAACCTCCAAACCTCCATCAACGCTTCTCCAAACCTCGACCCAGATACGTCTCCTCCCCAAACTCCCGCTCGGCAACCTGGAACAGCGGCAAGCCCATCAGATACCCATGCTCAGGTGACCCCATGACCTCCCACGTTGCCCTGGCCTCCTCGTCCCCTATCTCGACCAGTGCAGTGT